TATGTAATATATTCATATGTTTGTTGATTTTAATGTATTGATCTGGCATTTAAATAGTTTATACTTAACTTATATTTTGTGCTTTATAATTTATCAATTTATGATGGTTCGTAAATGTTGTGTTTGCTCCCAAGCTAATAAAAAAGGCATTAGCATGTTTAGGTGAGTCTGACGTCACTTAGTGAAATATGTAAAATAATATACTAATGAAAATTGTAGAAAAACACATTTTATGCTTTTATAACAGAGTTCCTCTATCTGATCCTACTCGTACAAAATGGATTAAAGCAATTGGTCTTAAAGAATCTATACCAAATAAATTGTATTTTGTGTGTGAACAACACTTTGAAGAAAATGATTTTCAAAATTCAAATGCATACACAAAAAAACTAAAATCAACTGCATTTCCAACGGGTTTGTTGGTAAACAAAATATAATACTTTATAATTCATTAGATTTATGACTTTTAATTACCTAGTATAAAATTAATTAAATATTTAAAGGAAAATAAACCAAGTGCTGTAATAACTCCATACATTAATAATGATGAATTGAAGTTAAACTCAAATCAGTTAACTTTTAGCTCAAGTTCTATTATATCGCCTGGCATTAATAAAGATGAATCAGTTAACGAGTTAGTAAAAGAGGAATTAAATGTATAGATCAGTATTATTTCATATTTATACTTACTAGTAAATAAATTATAAATTAATAGATATTTTTTATTATTATAAAATTAGGATTATTATTACATCAATGAAAATAGTATTATGTTAACACCAAAAAAAAAAAAATAATAAACATCGATTAAATATTGCAGAGGTACCAATAAAATATACTACCTAATAAATTATTTATTTTAACCTAACTATTTTGGTAGTAATTTTAAATTTAAATTATTGAGTTATATTATTACTTGGTAGTCACTGAATTTCAATAGTGTATGTTCCATTTGTGATACAAGAAACCATTTGAAAAGTTTAAAAGTATACTATGAGAATAAAATTTCTGAAATTTTGGAAAAAGAATCTAAATTACTAATTGATTGCTCTTGTGAAAACAGTGAAACAACTAACAATCTACAAACTACTGTCCAATCATGGGGTTAGTTAAATAATTAATCTTTAATTCTTAAAGCTTTTAAAATATATTATTATTGATGATTGTATGTATATTAATTWATTTATTAGAKTTGACTCCTAGAAGTAAGGCAAAACGAGATATTTTATTAGACCATTCGTATGAGTGTTTACCCGGTAAGCTTAGAAAGAAGTTTAAATCCACAATCAAAAAACAACATGTGACAAAATATATTGCAAAAAATGCTCTTCGGAAATCAAAACGGAATATAACACAAGTTAAAAAAGTAAAAACTTTGTTGAGAAATTTAAAAATAAAATGTGGTTTACAAGAAAAAGTATCTTCATTCATAGAAAATAACTTCTCATCATCAATTAATAAAATTGTGAATAAACTCATTAAAAAAAAAAAAAACATTTTACCCCAGGGTTAAGAGCATTCGCATTAACACTAAAGTTTTATTCACCAAAAGCTTATAACTTTATACGTAGTGAATTTGGACAAAGTTTACTACATCCTAGTACTTTAAGATCTTGGTACCATGAAATAAAAGTAGAAGAAGGATTCACTGATGAATCATTTAAGTCACTAAGAATTAAAAGTCAAGAGTATCAAGCTAGCAGTAAAACCATTTTTTGTTCATTAATGCTAGATGAAATGCATATAAAAAAACAAATAGAATGGGACGGACAATTTTGCCATGGATTTAGCAGTATTGGTAAAGATTACGAGACATCTGATCCTACATTGAAAGCAGCAACTCAGGTACTTGTGTTGTTAGTAGTTGCATTCGATTCTCACTGGAAGGTACCTATTGGATACTTTTTTCATAAGGGTATGACTGCTCAAGACACTGCTAACATTGTTAAGGAGGCATTAATAAAGCTGTTTGAAATTGGTATGTATATATATTTTATAATTATAGGAGTACAAATACCTTCTCTTACATTTGATGGACCAACGACACATATTAATATGGCCTCAATACTTGGAGCAAAATTATCATCTAAGGACATGAAAATTGATTTTCCTCATCCATCAGATGTCACAAGAACAATAAAATGTATTTTGGATCCTTGTCATGATTTAAAACTAATAAGAAATACATGGAGTTCAATGCGTGTGATTTACAACCCAGACGGTAAAAAAATTGATTGGAGCTTTATTGAACGTTTGGTTACCTTACAAGAGACAGAAGGTCTAAACGCTGGCAATAAACTCAAAAAATTACATCTAGATTGGAGAGAAAGACCAATGAAAGTCAATATTGCGGYGCAGACACTTAGTGCTAGTGTAGCTGATGCCATTGATTTTTGTCATAGTTTAAATTTAAAAGGATTTGAAGATAGTGAAGCTACTACAGAATTTATTCGAATTGTTGATAATTGGTTTGATATTTTAAATTCTAGGAATCCACATGGTCGTGGACACAAGGCGCCAATGAAAACATCCAACAGACATATTTGGGAACCTCTATTACAAAAGCAGTGGAGTATATGAACAATTTGACATGGGGCTATAATAAAAAACTTATGGTAGAACATACAAAAAAAAACAGATTTTTTAGAATATGCAAAAATGTACACTAAAAACTTTTGGTATTGAGTTCATTTTTGTCTGAAATGGATTTATTGCTTACTCTGCTATCTTTTCATAAACTACAAAAAAATATGCAAATGCTACAAGTCTCGAGCCCTGATAATGACTGTAGCAAACATTTTTTTAAATATTATATCAATATAAAATATATTAAGTTTATTATAAACAACATTTTGTATTAGTACTACTAGCTAATTTTAATATAAATCTAATTTATTAATTATTAATAGTTATTTTTAGATGATATATATGAATATCATAAGTGCATTCCCAGATTTCTATACAATAGGAGATAATCAAATGTGCAAGTGAAATATACATATATCATTCTTGATTAATTATTAGTAAGTATAGGAATAATAAGTTTTGGAAAACATATTAAAATGTATGGGTTTTTAAAATTAAATAGTCCCTAAAATAATTCCATTTTAATCTKWAATCAGTATATAATCCTAAATATTTCATAAAATGAACTCTATCTATATTTAAACATTTAAAATTTAATTATTAGCATCAAAACATACTTAAAAATAATCAACTAATTTTAGATTACAATCAATGTTAATATTTTGTATTAAAATATTCGTACAATAAATAACGAAATATGTAAAATTATGCAACAAAAAATTTTGTATTAAAATTGTACGTACAATGAATCGAATTTGCATCGAATCAGAATTTTAATATGCACTTTCTAGACAAATATGCAAATGCCTAGAGTTCCGAGTAATATCATCCCATCCCAATATCCACTAAAATCATTTAAAGTATTTTATAAAGGAAACTCCCAGGCAGGTCAATGCGATTCCGTAATCACCATTGTCATTATCAGTCATCACATACAAACAAGGTTAATCTTTGGTTTATCTTTCAATCAAAGGTATAAGTGTAAAACTAACATTTAAATTCAAAATTCTAATATTACATTGTAAAATATGAATTTTTGGATTACTCAGCACTGATTAAGATACCTTTGAATTTTTTAAGAAAAAGGTTTATTTCCTATAAACTGCWGATGCAAAAACAGTAATAATATAAAATTAAACATCAGGATGGTTTCTAAAAACAAAATATTAAGATAATACAATGTGAAGACATGTAAATATATTAATTATATGCATACTGAAATCTGAATTGAAAATAGTCAATTGCTTTTTATTGAAATTATTCATAAATGCACAACCTAAACCTTTACTAGTATTGTATATCTTTTCTATAAGACAAAAAAGAAAAGCTGTTCGTTCATAACCACATCAATCGAGAACAGCTGGACTGATGAGCCTCATTTTTTTAAAGTAAGACTTCTTTTTCGAGGTATAGGTAAAAAAAAAACTGTTACAAAAAAATAAAATTCAAAGATTGTTGTTATAGTAACAGTTGTTTCACCTTTGTTATTTTTATACAAATATATATATATATATATAAATAACTTATATTTTTATAATTCACTTATAATTTCACGGGCCCCAATACTACTTATGAAAGAAGTTTTACTTTCCCAGAGTTTAACGATGGGCTCACACACTCGAATGTAGTTTTTTTATGATTATAATATTCCAAATGAGGTATTTACAGAGAAAAAAATGGAAAAATTGCTCGGCAATTTGAGAAGATTTTATCAATGGGAATTTTGATCATAAATATTTGCCACTTATTATCAGAGATGTTACCAACTGATCGATGTTTGGTTTGGTTCAAAAGTCAAACTGTTAATTTCAAATTATCAAACCCAATCAAATAACTAATAGCTAGTTAAATTATCCATCATCATAAAAATTAATATCAAATAGGTATCAAAATTTAATAAATAAAATAATAAAATGATAAAATAATATCCAATTTTGACTTTTTTAGCATTCAGTTTGAGTTTGATAAAATATTTGAAGAGTTAGATTTGTGTAGGTTCAAATATATTCAAGTTTTTAAATTTTAAGAAAAGTTCGAATTGGGTATGGTTCGATCTTAAATATCATGGTTCGTGACATCTATACATATTGTAATATAATAATAGTAGCAAATTAGTAGATATTAATATTTTTTTTTTACATGGATGATTGCTATATGGCTGTTTCAATTTTTAAAAACAATAATATTTTCAATACCTAAGTAATTAAATAATTCTCATAATTACCTATAATTTGAAGAATAGTTCTTTGATAATGCAAGACTTGGAATTGCGTGTGGTATCTGTTGTCGATTTAAGTAAAAGAGACAACCTTGATTGAATTTGATCTTAATGTCCCAGAGAAAACCGTTTCAACTAAAACACAAATAAATAATACGGATATTGAATTTCATAAAAAAAAAAAAACTAAAACTAAGTATACATCAAAATCAGTCATTATACCCAAGAGTAGTTGGATTCATTCGTGGTTCAGAGACTGAGTGGAAAACTGTTAGTCTGCTTGAAACGATTGCTCAAAAATCCTGAAACAATGCCGTTGACCATAGGCTCCACGACGTAGAGGCTTTACTTAAAAGAATAACCGCAAAACGCTGTAAAACAAGCATAAATTTCGATATATAAAACGCGATTCAATGTTGGGATATCATGAGAAATAAATCTAAGCTTTGACATAACCAAATATATGTAATACAATGGCTGAAAGCACTGAACTAAATACATGAAATGCATGTATTAATCAAAATATGAGCCTGATAGGAAGCCGTCATATACATTTCGAGTCATTAGAAAACATAATGAAATGTAATGTTATCTAGGAAAATTGTTATAATCATCATAATATTTATGTTAAAAATCAAATTGGAATTCAGAATGCATATGGCGGCTCCTGTATAGAACATATTATGATGACGTTAGAATTATACATAATAGGAGGTACCTACGCATTCCATTAATTTAGAGACGTTTCACATGAACGCGTATCATACACGCACGTGTTTTTAATTAACATAATATGGTGAAAAAATTCATACTCGCCACTTCGACGACGGTGCGCTGTCCTAGCCATTATGGCACGTATGAACTTAATCTATGTGAACTCAAAACGGGCGGGTACGATACGCGTCCATAATATGAAACGGGTCATAATTCAATGGCTGATAGATACTATACCTGTTATTCACTGCGGCGACGACACCGGTAGACAACTTGTGGAAAACGGAGTGAACACAATAATTAAATGGCGGTAAAAACAATTTTATAACAAGCAGATCGTTGGGACGCGCGCGAACGCAGCAACGAACAAAGGAGAAATGACMAAGAAGTGCAAGAGCGTACCAAGTGGCGGTTACACTTGAAAAATATGTAAACCTGGGCGTCGGCGTCAAACAGCATTCCTGTGCAGTTAGTGCGACTGCCGCCAGTCGCTAAACGAGCGTGTCCGAACGTACCCGAAATGCAGTATAACCTAAAGAAATCGTAAACGACAAACGTCGTAGTATGTATGTATGTGTGTATGTGTATATGTATATGTATTATTATTATTATTATTATACAGCAGATGCCTGTTGCTCTGTTGTCCTTGAACGGAGGGTCAGATTCGACTCGCAGCAAAATAACAAAGAAAACCTTTTTGTATGTAGCCGAGCAGCCGTATAATAACTAAGTAGGTGTTCGTGTGGACGATGCGTTGAAWAAAAATATCTCTTTAAAATTATTTAGCCACCCCTGCTATAGAATAATAATATCCCTACATTAGTTTGTCCYAAAGTAATRTTATACAGCCATACAGATTCCTTCATATAACATACAGTACAGAAAACGACATTGTTCGTATAGTGAAGAAAACTGTGCGGACTGATAATACAATCGAAAATCAATTTATCAGAACAGAGAAATTATACGATAACTACACAGATCGAATCTTTGGTCGAAACGTTTATCATTTCTCTAAGGAAATTATAACTAATTTGTTACAAGTTATTATAAAATGATATGTTTATATTTAAATTATACAAGCCTATAATTATTATATCAGGGATAAGAGAGAGTAGCTAGACGCGCAATATAAATGGAAAGAGCAGGAACAAAAATGTTCTCAATTATAGTGAATAAGAATATAAGATAAGATAACAAATGTCATAAAATGTGTAAAATGTGAAATAAAATAATAACGTACAATAATGTCGGATTAAATATTGTAGGGAATAATTTTGTCTTTATATTATTATCAAGGTTATCTGAACACCAGCTGCCTTTCACCCGGGTACAGTCGTTTTCGAGAAGAATTGACCTGTGAACGGTGACTGTATGGTGAACGTTTTGACGCAGTGGTTCTAAAACACGTATTGCTCGGAAATCTTTTGTTTAGTAGACTACCTGTTCTCTAACGGCCAATGTTAAGAACCACATTCTTTCAGAAACACCACCACCAGCCACCACCGAGGGTCTTTTCCAGAAAACGACTACAGGTTGGTCAACCATAAAAAATACAAATCATGGATAAATCTAATAAGGGGCTCTAAATTATGGTTAAAAATTGTCGTAATATGGTAAATAGAATGAAAGACTGTAGGCTAGTATTTTAATATTTTATATTTTCGTAACAACTATAATTTTATATA